GCCTGTTGCTCTGTAAAATGTTCTTTGAGTGTGTGTGTCAGGGACTTTATCTATTACTGTCTTTTTCAGCAGGCAAAATATGTGAATAACAGATCTGAATAAGTAAATGGAAAAAACTATTACAAATCTACCTTCACTTCCCAGTCAGCTTTCCTGCCAAAATCTTGCTACCTTTCTAAAGTACTGACAGCAGTGGCAGCCTAATGAGGTCAGACTAATTGCTGCTGGGACTCCACTACACAGCACAGTAGCTTTTTCATGGAAAGTGAGCATGTGTGGAGACTTAAGCAGAAGAGGTTTGCTTCCAGTATTTTCATGATGCAATTTTTCTTAGAGTTCTGTGTCTGCTAAAATTGCACATGCACTCAAGGGATTTCACTGCCTTATAAAATAAAATATTCTTGGATCACATCCAGATGTGTGGGCTCACATTTTTCTGCGTAAAGAACTGCCTCAGAGATTAACTGCTCATTGTTCTTGCCTGATGCCTTGTCATGCACTCCTACTAGGAAAAAGGCATAAAGAAAAACGTGTTTTCATCTTGTTACAGTTTTCTTCCTCAAGAACACTGGCTACCCTTGAGTTTTGAAGTCCTAAATATTTGAAGGCCAGCTGCCAGATTGTTAGAGGTGTAACACGCAGAAATATCATTAAGAAAAAGGTTTGTTTTTTATTTTGTGCACTCACCATGGCAACAAAAATAATGGAGCGACAATTCTACCGTTGCCAAATGTTGACAGTCAAGTCCACAACCATTGTAAGATTCAGAAGGAAGGAACATTGACATCCTGCCATAATGTTGGTTTTGGTAAAATTGCTATGTCACGGTGGCCAAGATGCATATATTCTAATGCTGACTGTATTTCAAAACAGTGAGAAAGCCATTTCAATATATTATGTTTAGTGTTCACAGAAAGTGTTCCCACACTAGGTGAGGAGATAATTAAAGTGGAGGTAGTGTTTTCTTTCCTCAGTTCTTTGTGTTTCCCAGAAGGAAGAAAAAAAAAAAGGCCACCCAAACCCCTGCAGTCCTCCCAGATTCCCCAGCACTTTCAGGTAGTCTGGTAATGCCGTTACTGCCATAAAATTTCCTTATATTCTTTTTTTTAATTGATGATAAACATGTCTGCATGACTTTAGTGTTTATTGCACACTTCTGGAAATCAAATGGATTGTGTACGGATAAAAGCATAGCTGTCGCAAACAATTTTTGGCAAAAAAAGACCCCAAATCTCTTCCCTGCAACTGCTTGAAACCGTGCCATCCTGATGCGCGTTAAGCATACCCGTGTATGGGATACGGTGGGGCTGCCTCTTGCGGGAACGCTGCTGAGTGTTGGGGGCCAGCAGTACGGGAGCGCTGGTGTGCTTGCTGCAGGCCAATCCGTCACTGCGGCCAGTCTGTGATGTGACCTCGTGCGCCGAGGCACTGGTCGGTTTGCCACCTCCGGTGTCCAGGTGATGGTTTCTAGCGAATCCCAGCTAGACGTGGCTTGCTGCCCCTCGTTACGATCCTCGCTAGATCACAACCTTGACAGTGGTGGTGGCCTCCAGTTAGCTGAGAACTTGTGAGATTCCTCAAGAAATTAAGCTTTGTGCTACAGATAAATACACCCACCCTTCTTAGAAACTACAAGTAAGGGTAAACGAGGCAGGTCTAATGTGAGTAGCTGGTGACTGCCAGTCAGGAGAGAGAGCAGAAAGGCCACTTGGTTTGGATGGCTTTGGAAGGTGCTGACGAAAGCTGCCTGTCCACCGCTGGGCGCGTAGAGTACCCCCAGCACCAGGAGGGCAGCCAGGTTCCTTCTCCTGTACTGCTGGCCTGTGGTACTGGCCCGACTGTGCTGTCACTGCTGTTCTTTTTAATATTGTAAGTACCAGATTAATGGGAGCCCTCAGGAGGGAGTGCCAAGGTAGCGAAGAGGAGTCCTTAGAGCCCCTGACTGGAGCGGCGCCTAACGACCACGAGCAACTGAAAAGCGTGTTTATTAAACGAGGTTGTGACGTGTTATTGGCTGGTTTACCTGAGCAAGTATATTCTGGGGTACGATAGATATGTCAGGGTTTTTACGTGCCTGCCATTAATCGCACTGCTCGAGCGATAAGCTCACTGCGTTCTTGCATTTCAGTCGTTATGTTTTTGCTGCCTTAAATACGTTTAAACGCAGGGGCCTGAAATATATTTCTTTCCCTGCTGAGCCAGGAGCTGATAAAATTCCACTGCGGGGAAAACGGGTGCCGGGAGGGAAGAGAAGGTTTTATCGCTGGGGGACCTTGGCGGCGGCCGATAACCCCCCGCACGGCCGCGCCGGGGGCGGCGC